CCCTATCATCAAATGTTAATAACCATTTAACAAAGGATGGAAATGAAAATAGATAAGATATAATTATCTAAAAACGAAAAAAAGACAGCACTATAGTCAACTGTAGGAGTGTAATTTTTCATGCGAAGCAAAAATCCTGTAAGTCAAGAACGAAACGACCAAACAATCTAAAATTTTCAGGCTGATCAGTAGTGTGTATGAGCTTGTAGTGCTGAAAATTTCATGTGTGTACGATCTTTCTTGACTGAATTGTAATGTTTTCAATTTTTGACACTGTTGGTTGGGAAGAAAAGAAAATTGGCCCTAACTTTTCAAGAAAGAGTCATCAGCAAAAATCCTTTTAGACTTTTTTACTATCTCGATGCCCTCTATCAAACGACCTATGAATGAAGAGAATTGGCGTTGGACATCTCGGACGGTTCCCTCGTTAGGTAGGTACAATCAATTAATTACTTTATTAATTCTTTATTTCTTTCAAATAAACAATTCTTGTGAATTATCTCTTGCAGTAGATGAGTATGAATTAAGTTTTTATTCTTCATAAAAATAATTTTTTTTAGTTCCGTATCATGTTTTATTTTACAATAGAACTGACAGTTCATTCGAGCAGATTCTTGATTTGGTCTTCATCCATTTTTTATATTTCTTCTAACAGGGCCACTATTATAATGACATACATGCTTTAGATTTGCGTATTGAAAACGATCAAACAATTCTTTCATTGTTTTTTCCTTATATTTCATTGAATGACGTTCAAGAGAGAATCCGCAAAACTACCATCCAAAAAACATATGGTTCGGTGTCGAAAAATTTTACATCTTGAAACTGATTAGCTAGTGCGAAAGAGCGTAAAAAATTAGGTCTAGAGATAAATTTTCAACTCTTTGGAATGAAGTCTTGAGAAGATTTTGTATCTCGACTTTTTTTCAGTAATAATCAATGTTTGAAAAAATGATTCTTTTTGCAACAAATAAAATTGTTTCTCTTTCGTCAAACATTTCAACAGAAAAAACTTCATCGAAGCAATCACTATCTTATACCAAAAGATAGAGCATAATTCGCTCTACAAAATCCTATAGAGAGTATTTCTATTTGCAAAGACTGGTCTGTTCAACAGTCATTGAAATATAGAAATTATCATTGTTTTTCAATTTTTTTTTTCATATGCCTTTACGTGCTTAGTAACGCTATTGGCGGCTCATGTTTCAAGATCTCAGAGTGAATTTTGGATATGTTATAGCCTGTCGAAAGGCACACCTTTTGATGTAAATATGTGTCGGGTTAAAATACTAGCAACATGTTCAAATGCTCATGGAAAGGTAAACAATGAAACATCTTTTTTTACCATTTTCGTGTGTACTCGGGGTCTTCACTTCAGAAATCATTTCACTATATCTTCACCCTATCGCAGTTAATTTTGATGGACTTAGCATCGTTTCATGAGGCTTTCCAAAATGTTTTTGAAGCATCATGACACACTCTTCTTTCACAATCCACTTCGGAATAGTAGATTCAAATAATCGAGACAGTCGTTGTTATGAATAGACCTCATTAAAGTAATCATGGAAGAATTGCGATAAACTGAGAGAAATTTTGTTTGAGCATGAACGCTGAGTCATTTTTACAAAGCGTACGTCGAAAGTTCCTTATGACTGCCTGAATCCTTGTCGATGGCCTTGTGTGTTCAAATGTAAGGTGGACTTTTTTCTATTTATGAGAAATTTTTTGATCATTGATCTCTAAGGTCTTCTCACACATTCAAGAAACGTATTTCGCAATCTATGTATCTTTTTTCTTTTCAACTATGTCCTTCCTTATGTATCGAAATAATATTAGAATCTGTGGCCTGTTTCTCAAGGCAGAGAATAAGATGCCTAATAATGCTTCACATACATTGATCCATAGTACCATGAATAGTAAATCCTAATTGAGATCCTCTACCGCTAGATTCAAGAGAACTGTGCTTCGAAACTGTATCGAATCGTGTTTCATTTCTTAGGTTAATAGAGACTAGACTTAGTTTCTGGCTTGGTTATCTCAAATTTAGAATGTCTTTATAGGTATGTGTGCATTCTATGATGTATTATCTTCCTAGCTCTAAATCTAAAAAGTTGGGTCAATTGGTCTTGAGGATATTGAGTATCACACCCTATTTTACTCCTAGTCGTCCTTATATGGTAGTATGCATGCATTCGTTTCATGGTAGTTTCACAGCTAGAATATGGGTCTTTCTTTTGGATTTCATCGTGAATTTCAAGATGCCTCGGCATTTGAACGAATACAAAATTGGAAGCTCACATCTAGGCAGAAAGACTGGAACTTCATAGTTACAATCTCTTAGTTGTTGCTGGCGACGCATTTCAGCGATGTTGTGATGATAGACTGATTCATACATTATTGTTTATGAGTTGCCCAAAATCTGTGACATATGCGGACGAGAATCCAAATCCAATGGAAATTTTTCCACACTCCGAAGACGCAATACATAAAGGGTATCACGTAAGTTCTGATCCCCTCATCAAATTTTTGTTTTCTTACACGTCTCTGCATTGGAAGAGACTGATATTTTCAATATTTATACTAGATGTCTAGATCTACTCTATACTTGAATTTCACATTTCTACTTATTTCTATTACAGTGATACAAGCACCACCAAAAATTATAAGAATTTTTGAATTGTAACTAGAACAATTATGGATGAGAAAAACTGCATTCAGTTTATAACGGATCGATATCCAGCAGCTTTTCCGTTACTATATAAATCGAATTTCGACTTGTAAATGTCTTTTCGAGTAGAACTATTCATATTGCATTATAATCAAGAATTAAAAATAATCATGTATTCCTGGTAATATTTCGACTTTTTTTCCTTATTTTTAGTGATGCTTGTATCACTGTAATAGAAATAAGTAGAAATGTGAAATTCTAGTATAGAGTAGATCTAGACATCTAGTATAGATACTGAAAATATCAGTTCCTTCGAATGTAGACACATGTAAGAAAACAAAAATTTGATGAGGAGATCAGAATTTACGTGACACCCTTTATTTAGGGAGATATTCTCCGTTATAGAATATAACCATCCATAGTGCATTCGAGTTTTTCACTGCTTACTATATGGAATTGAATCACCGATTTTTCGTAGTGCTAGCGAGAGACTTTATTCTTGAGATTCTGCACTACATCGGTCTGAACAATCACACGTCTCGAGAGATTTGATGGACGAACGAAACAGGAAAAAATCAACCAAAAAAGTCAAGCGCAAGTAAAAACACGTGGCTGTGTATGTGGGTGTAGATGTGGACGAAAAGAAAATCACCACCAACACTAGCACGCACACCCACACTCATACCTTTCTATGAGCATTTGGACATGTTGCTAGTATTTTAACCCTACACATTTATACCAAAAGGTGTGCCTTTCGACAGGCTATAACATATCCAAAATCCAGTCTGAGATTTTGAAACATGAGCCACCAATAGCGTCACCAAGCACGTAAAGGCATATGAAAAAAAAATTGAAAAATAATGATATTTTCTATATTTCCATGACTGTTGAACAGACCAGTCTTTGCAAATAGAAATACTCTCTATACGGTTTTGTAGAGCGAATTATGCTCTATCTTTTGGTATAAGATAGTGATTGCTTCGATGAAGTTTTTCTTTTGAAATGTTTGACGAAAGAGAAACAACTTTATTTGTTGCAAAAAGAATCATTTTTTTTAACATTGATTATTACTGAAAAAAAGTCGAGATACCAAATCTTCTCAAGACTTCATTCCAAAGAGTTGAAAATTTATCTCTAGACCTAACTTTTTACGTTCTTTTGCACTAGCTAATCAGTTTCCAGATGTAAAATTTTTCGACACCTAATCATGTGTTTTTTGGGTGACGGTCTCATGGACTCTCTCTTAAGATTAAGAAAGAAAAAGGAAAGAAGAAAAAAATATTTATATTTGCATCATATACGTCATCGTTACGATATCAGAAGAGAGAAAAGAAAAACAAAGAAACCGCAATATATACTGATCAGACTATAAGAAGTTCTATGTAGTAGAGGTTTTTTTCAGCTCCATCTATTTCAAAAGAAATTGATCCAAAAGCTAAATCTTATAAGTGTAGAAATTACATTTCATACGAGAATAAGTTGTTCTCGTGGCTATTCTGTGTTAGGAATGGACACTTTAATTTAATTTAATATTAAATTAAATTTTTATTTAACACTTAATTCACTTGAAATTTAGTGATTGACGTGGTAGATGTAACATTCTGGTAATAATCTGTTACTAACATGTTCCATCTATCATGTCAATCAATTAACTTTAAGTGAACCAAGTGTTAAATAAAAATTTAATTTAATATTAAGTGTTAATCTAGGTTGATCATTGCAGACTTCGTATACGCCTGTAAATAATCGTATATGCTCCCTATACGACCGTAAATGGTCGTATTTTGGGGGATTACATGATCCAGTATTACGGTCGTATATCGCCGTGACAGTATACGGAGAAATACGGAGCAAAATGAAGAATGTATATTGACTCCATATACTAGTATCGTAAACGACCATTTCTTTCTCCGTATACGACACGAAGATATAGGACCGTAATACTGGATCATGTAAACCGCTGTATTTTTCCGTATACAGCCTTTTACGACCATGTTTGTTTGACCTGGGAAATGAAGTCACTTAATTAAATTTGTTAATTAAGTCACGTTAAATGAAATGGTCCACCCTACTGTCTATATTTGCACTGAATAATTTTTTGTATTTTTACGTGGAGAAAAACGAGTAAGAAACATCATTGTATCGTATGTATAACGTACTCCTAGAAAAACAGAATAAATGTACAAAAATAGAAGGAAGGAAAAAAAACCATTTATCAGTATATATGTATCATTGTTGTTGTTAAACTGCAAAATATAAGATAGTAATGTATATTATTTATTGTATAATTCTAGATTGATTTATTTATATCATAATTATTAATACTATTTAAATGAGTTCATCGACTATTTCCGGTATTGTAAAAAGTGACCATATTGCTGTGAATGAACTTTATAAAGTATGTTAATTATTATTTAAATATAAATAATAATATAAATTGTAGAATTATATAATGAGTCAAGGTGATATTAAGAAACAAGAACGTCTTTCTATTCAATTTCGACAAGAATTAACTAAACATAGTACTGCAGAAGAAACTATTCTTTATCCAGCATTTGAACAATATCTTGGTCCAGAAGGAAAAAAAATAGCTGATCAAGATCGAAATGAACATGAAACTGTTTGTTTATTATTTATTATCTATTGTTTTTTAATTTTATTCTATTTTTTATTTATAGGTTAAGAAACTTTTGCATTTACTTGGAACAACACCTGTATCTAATCCACAGCATCGTATTATATTCAGTGAACTTATGACTAATTTAAATGAACATATTAGAAGGTATATTCACCTATTTACTATTTATACAAAAATATATAAAATAAATTTTAGTGAAGAAAAAAATAATTTATCAAAATTTGAAAGTGCAATAACAGTTGATTTAAGTGCATCATTAGCTCAAGCATTCGAACAAGCAAAACTTTCTGTTGCTGTTTAGTATGTTGTTCTGTCTTTTCTCTTCTATTTGTTTAGTATGTTTTTCTGTCTTTTCTCTTCTATTTGTTTATTATATTCATGTAAATGATTATCGAAATTCACCTCTTAATAACACATTTTTGTGAATGATTCTTGATTTGCTACTTTTTTCATTCGATTTATTTTCATCCATTGCGTTAAATTTTTTGAATAACCTATATTTATTCCTGCTTTATTTACTTAGCAATTTTGCTTCTTTTTTTTTTACATAATAAACTAACTTTTTGTGAAACTCACATTATGGTGAGTGTAAGCTTTAAGTCAAGACTTTAAGATTGGCTCTCCCGAGCAAACGGGGAGATGATGTCATCGATCATCGGATGTGTTTTCATAGCAATAGAGGACAATAGGCGTCAAACTCTTTTGGCAGAACTCCTTACCAAAAAAAATAGGAACTGAATAGTATTAACAGCAAGACAAAAATTGTTCTAGAACATCCCAAAGCCTTCCTCGATATTTGAATGGCTGGAATATATTTATGAGTGTTCAAAATAGTGCAATGTTGGATTTTTGAATATATGGAAATTTATATTCAAGATATACAGGATGGTAGATAATGATGCATTGATTTGTCACAGTTGTCATACGATTAAAATAAAAAGTATTCATTGATCAAGTTTGAACTTATCGAGATATATAACAAAGTGTTGAGATCCGCTATGGATATGTACAACAAGCTTATTTGCTAATTAAAACAATAATTAGAATAATAGTGATAAAGTTAAATTAAAAAAAAAGGAATACGAAAAAGAAAAATAACTGAAGGATAGCAACAAGGCAAACAAAAGAAAGTGTGTCAATAAACAAAGAAAGAAAAAAACCTATTCGAAATGTAGAAAAATAAATAAGATATATTGTTTTTCTGGTTATTGATTGTTCTATAATAAAGCTCAAAAACATATCAGATTTCTATATTTTAGTCCCAAAGAAGCTATGCTGACAAACTTTTCTATTTATATTCTTATTTACTATAATTCATTAGAATTAATTAAAATAAAATAACACAAATGACATATAAATTATATTTATAAATAATTCATTCTATGAATGTGTTAAATAAAAAATTTTTAAATAGAAAAATATCATTAATAGATATTCTTCAATCTATTCTTGCTTCTCTGAATCAATCAAATAGGATTCATTTTTTCATCTTTTAATATTCAACTAAGAAAACACGTCATAAATGTGTATAAACCATTGTCATATTTATCAACTTGTTTCTACGCGATGAACACTGACTGATAGAAGATAACCGAACAATCAAAGTCGTTTTAAGAAGAAATAAGATTTTCCATGCGTGGATAGGCAAGTGGATGTGAGTGTTGATCTACCTCACATCGACACTCTGGTGTTCATACAGTTTCTGTTGATTTTCGTAATACGAAAATACAAGTAACTTGAGCATGGTAAATAAAAAATAAAATGAAATTCAAAAAAAAAGTTTATAATTTAGCTTTTCTTTTCACTTGAAAATAAAAGTGCAATTTAAAAATTTTTAGAGAAAAATAAATCAGATGGAATTCATTATATTTGTACTGAAGTATTCATTATTCCATTTATGATTTTTATTTAGTTTCAGTGTTATATTGGTAATTCAGAGTGATAATATTGAAGAAACAATTAAAGATATTAAAAAGAAAAATATTCTTATACTCCGCGAAAAAACTCTAATAGGTGTTCATGAAAAATCGGTCATATTTCTTCATCTATAATATTGCGATGAACTCTTAATTGAGCTTGAAAAAGCTTAATGATCACATGTTTTTTTTTTCGATGGATTATTTCTTAATGTAATTTGGAGTGTTTGCTGTCTTTTAAATTATAATAAATAATTAGAAATGAGTCATTTGGTTTCTGTTAATATTTATTTATATGTTTTAGACTTCAAATTAGAGATCGAATTGTTCTTGAGACTTTTATGGAAAAGGGTTCGAATTAAAGAACTGCGAGTCCATTGAGATGTCGGTTGGAATCTACATATTTTTAGACCTATCAGATTCCTAATGATACTGATTTTGTCGAAGTTCCATTAAACAAGACGGCATTTTCTTTTTCAAGCAATCTATCGATAAAATTTTTTCGGAATTCTTCCCATAACATTTCTTTAATAATAAGTATCTTAGTACTTCGGTGTTTTATTCAAACTCTTCTTTTAGTATATTAATGATTATTCTGTTAGAGTTCAGTCATAGAAAATTGTAGGCTGATTGATTATTGTTATTGAATTATTTTCGGTTGAAACAAGATGAAAATCTGCAATATTCATCGTTAAGAAGAGGGGTCAAATACATATTATTTTAATTAAACATTAGAGTAAATCAATCAAAAAACAGACCCTCTTATCTATCTTGAAGAAAGACAAATACAATTTGCTGTTCTCAACTTTTGCTTTTCAGCAATCGATTATTTTGCTCAAGTTAAATGAATATATTACAGGGTGGGTGTTAGTCTGCTACAAAGTCTTCTATTTACACCCACATCTACACTCAATACCGGTTCTTATATAACCTATAACAGACTTCTCTCTTTATCCGTTGTCACTGAACAACAATTGTAAAAACTAGCATGATTTTCTGTTGGAATGATTTCATGCTTACATTCCTGGTTTTCTTGCAGAACATGTTTTAAAAACAGTCTCGAGGAATATAGGGTGCAAATTTCGGAGTGTCTACGATTGTGGTTCCAGTTATTGGCGTGGGTTTACGTGTATGAAGGAGAGTAGGCATTTATCGAGGCCCAACAGCTCCAACTCGTCAAGGACGGATTGGGTAAGACTCATTGAAGCTCGCTTTGTCTCAATTAGACTCGTTTCGAATCTGGTTGTGCTACAGCTAAGCCGAGTCGAAATCTGACAGAGTTCAAGTCTGATCTAGCCGAAAACTGGGTAGGATGTGACTGTGGCTAAGACTGTAGGTGTTGATCATTTAGAAACACTAATATTAGCATCCACATACCCGTAGCCACACCCACACATCCGCATTCTCCAATTGCTTTATTGTTTTTTGCGAACGCAAATATGAAAAAAGGGAGTCCAACATTGAATAAGTCTTTTCAGTTCTCTGTCAAATCATGCTCGAAATCAATGTTCACGATCTGTATGTTGTTCATTCCACTCAATGAGTTCCTGTGTAGGACCTCTAAGTTCGTCTCCGATTTGATTGCTGTGAAGACTGAGTGTGGTGAGTGTCTTTTCGAAAAAATGTAGATGAGTCATGAGAGAGATGACGAGAGAATGAACGTTACTGTGTTATTTCACAATGCATCAGCCAGATGTTGTGTTCCTTCGTCTCCTATTTGATTGATCCAGAGCTTGAGTGTGGTGAGCGTCTGTGTGAAAAAAATTTAAATCTCGAATAAATCAAATACTTAAAAAAAAACTATTCAAAGAATTGAATAATTGGTATTCATTAATCGTACAAGTTTTCATAGAATAAACGTTGAAATTTATGTAAGTATGCATTTGATTCCAACAAAAAACTTGTTTCCCAGAGCTTCTTAATAACAGGAAAAGGCATTGAACAGTACTAATGACATGACTAAGACTGTTCTAGAATATTTTAAAGCCTTCCTCGAAATTTGAATGGTTAGAATACGCTTGTGAGTGTTTATAATAGTGCAATTGTCATATAATCAATAGAAATAGTGTGAACTAATCATGACTTAACTTTGACAAATTTCGTCTTCAAGACAACAGATATATCACGTATATATTTAAACCATTGCCATATTTTTCGATTTCTTTCTACATGGTGAATGCTGATCGATAATGTAATCATACTATCAATGTCATTTATATACAGTTCAAATTCAATGCAACCTAATACATAAGCCATTTATAATCGTCATTTTCTATAATTATATGTTGATCTGAACCGGGGAGTAGGTTCTAATTGGAAGAGACACACACACCATCAATTTAAAAATAGAAGATTGTAGATGCTTCACCCAAAACTTGTTCTACTCGAATCTGTTTTGATAGTGAAGATCTGTTTTTTTTTGCGTATCAGTCTTATAATAGTGTATGTATATATAAGAATCTTGAATATCAACAAAGAAAAACAAGAGTTTTGACAGAGTAAACAGAATATGTTTGTAACGCTCCCGCTTGAGTACACTGTATGGCATAATGACCGTATTGTTCTGATATTTTCGTCCTTATACTTTGTCCTTATATCTCTTTCTTCCCATATATGGTCTTATCATTCTTTCCTTTCATATTCTTTCCTTCTCTCTGATGGATAAGTATATAAGCATATGTTTTGTATGGAAGCGATGCGATTCTTGATAAGAAGAAATATAATAAAGTGTAGTTCCATCAGCGCTAACTCTTCTTCTATCTAAAATCGTCACAATGTTCATTAACTCCTC